CGCTTGGTGATGTGAGAGCCTGGTCCGGTGAGAACCCGGCGTGCTCCGTCCCGGCTTTGTAGGGATGCGAGGTCAATGGTCTAACGACTACGGCATGCACGACTATGAGGACACCCCTCCCCTCCACCGTGCGTCTATTCTGATTGATCCCAGCTCTGCGACCGGCCACATCGTCGAGCCACCGGGTCAAACGACATCGCCGTTGACTCAGGACGATGATGGCTTGCCTTTGTCTTCCACGGGAGAGAGAGCGAGGCAGGAGGCTCTGGGCGCTGCGGACGCCGCCGCAGCGGAGGCCGACACCATCAGCATTCAAGACAAGATGGACAAATTGAAGCCGGAACAACTTGATAGTGTCACACGCTTGCCCCTCGGTCCTGATGCTGATGAATTTGCTCGTTTCGCGTCCAGCTACAAGGGTGTGGTCACAGAGATCCTCAACAAAAACGACGTGAAGCGCAAGCAGACTTTCAATTCCTTCACTTGGGTCACCGGATGGCTTCCATTGTTGCGCAAACGTGTCCGTGCTGCTGTGTTTGCAGGCCAAACTACCAACCGTGCCACGCTGGAATTTCTTGATGCCATCTTCCTACAGGTAGAAAAACATCTGCGCAAGGAACCGGCAGGGCCCTCGACGTACGCCTTCTTCATTCAGAAATTGGTGGCTGCCTGGGACACTCAAGACAAGAGCTCCGGGATTGATCGTCTTCGCAGTTTTGGCGTGTCCAACGGCGAGGCTTACGGAGAATTCATTCGTCGCCCTAAGGCTCTGGCCATGACCGTCACGGTTTCTCACCACGCGTTCAAGCCTTCGGTTGCGCAAGTGCAGATAGCTGTTCGAGACTCCATGTTAAAGCAGTTTCCGGCAGTGTCTGGGCAGGTGTACAAGGATGAGCAGCTCTCCATGGAAGCCCCTCTTGGGCGACATGCTTCGTGTCTGGATGATATGTGGGATGCGTTGGACAAGCGTGCGTTCGCGCACACGCCGGCGGTGCATGGAGACGATTTCTTTTCGGTATCTTCCACGAATGCTAGGAGTTCGTCTCCTGTTTCACGTGCTGTAGCTTCTTCGGCGTTGCGTTCGGCGGTGACCCCTTCGTGGAGCCAGGGCTCTTCGGCCGCCGTGATGAGTGTTGACCCTCTACCTAATGACGATCGGGACCCGTTTTTGTTGCACCACAGTGACTGGCCGTTGCAAGGACACTTCCAAGAGGTGTACAACGTCGCTAGTGAGATGGCTCTAACAAAAAACGATCCGCCATTGTTCATCCCCTTGGTCTCGGCTGAAGAACGCCGCAACGCGCTTCGACTGTACAAGAGCAAGTGCCTCAACTGCTCAGGAGAAGACGACTCCTTCATATCCTGTAACCGTGGTTTCGTGAACGCCACCAGCCTGCTTAACAATGACATTCAGTTCTGTATGGAAAAAGATCCCACCCTTTGGGGTCGGTGGAAAAAGCGTATGACCTCCTATCGACGCCCTACACAACGCAACCCACAACGAAGTCACTCTTCAGGACGCGCCCGCCGCTCATCTGACACATCGGATACGAAACAGTTCTCACACACACAGCCCTCGTCGGAGGCTCCCACTTCGGCTAAAATGGGCTGGAGGGGTAAGAAATGACAAGCCGATGGCGGAGTTCAGCCGGTACTACCGTCAACAGCAATCTCCGTGCAACCTTTTGGAGTCTCCCAAGATGTTCGTGTACATCCTACTTCTTTGGATGCTCCCCACGTTCCTCAATCACATCCAGTTTCTCGGCCCGCCTCCTCGTCGTCCGCCTCACCGCCTGATCGTATTGGACATGACAAACCCACTTCAGCAGTACCTTTGTGGTGTGGGCGACAGGAAGGGAAGACGTCGAGCGGCTCACTCCTGCTCACCTCGTCGTCTTGGGTTACAGAAGGAACAAGAACCTCGTATTCAACTATTCGTCAAGGCTGTCCTGGTGTTGTCAGCCGGGCCTCTTCTCGGATCGCACACGACCATTCTTCTACACTCATTGGGAACCCCGTCGATCCTCCTTCTCTTTCGCAGCTTTCGTTGTCTTCGACCGTCCGCTGCCCCCGTGTGAAAGCACTTGATACGAATTCGTCTTCCTCTGCTGCCCACCACGTGCTGACTGCACCACTGCCATCGGGATCGGATGGTAGTGCCCACCATTCTGTGGAAGGTTCGGCTCCTTTGTCAAGGGGAGTAGTCAAGAGCGCCCTGTGTCAATTAACAAACGTCAGTCTGCTGCAGGAATGACTTCTTCTAACGAACGGGTCTCTACTAGCCGAACGGCCTTGCCAACATTGACCCCGCCGGAGCCGCCGACCTTAGACNTCGCAGCTTTCGTTGTCTTCGACCGTCCGCTGCCCCCGTGTGAAAGCACTTGATACGAATTCGTCTTCCTCTGCTGCCCACCACGTGCTGACTGCACCACTGCCATCGGGATCGGATGGTAGTGCCCACCATTCTGTGGAAGGTTCGGCTCCTTTGTCAAGGGGAGTAGTCAAGAGCGCCCTGTGTCAATTAACAAACGTCAGTCTGCTGCAGGAATGACTTCTTCTAACGAACGGGTCTCTACTAGCCGAACGGCCTTGCCAACATTGACCCCGCCGGAGCCGCCGACCTTAGACCGCCCTCCGGATCACGGAGCATTGCGACTTCGCCCGCTCCTGCCTCGCTTTCTGGGTCTTCCCAGTCGGAGATGAGGACCGTCCGCTTGTTCCACCCCCGCCTGTGCCTGGTGCCCGCTCTTTGCCCCTTCGCCCTCCACCGGCTCTGCCGTTTGATGACATGTGCGAGTACGCTTCGGATGACGTCCTTCTCTTCTGGAAACCTCCGTCTGTGTTCTCGCAATGGACTCCTTCGACTTTTGACGTACTGGGGGTACATAATTCATGTGGTGAGCAATTAATGATGTCTGAAGGAGGGAAGTTGTTTGGAGATATGACGTCTTATGACAAAATTATGGCTGCAACAGATCCTAAGACACACAAGTTTTTGGGTCGTAACGTCCGTCCTTTCGACTATGCTGAATGGGAGCGTCGTCGAGAAGAGATCGTGCTTACGGGGTCGTATGCCAAATTTGCTCAAAACCATGCCATGAAATAACATTTACTGGAGACGGGTACCCGCCTTCTTGCGGAACCCAGCCCCTTCGATCGTGTTCGGGGTATCGGCATGTCTGCATGCGTTCCAGAGGCTAGCGTTTCATCCAAGTGGGCGGCTAGCGGTAAAAACTTGTTGGGAAAGCTTTGATGGAAGTTCGACGTGTTCTGCGTGATCATCCCCTGTCTGGCGAAGATTTCTCTGCTACCACTTCTCCCACGCCCCCCATTTCGCAGCCTCCTCTCCATGGACATCGACGCATTCACGAGGTTGCTACTGCAGCAGGTTCGTCGTCACGGGAGGACCGGGGCGAAGACCCAGCTTGTCTACGTTTGGACGCTCCGGGGGACCATGCGTTCATCTGGCGGCATCGACCTCCGCTTGTGCAAACCAACCTCCCCTTCTGGAACATGGGCCCGATATGGTAGGGGGCACGCTCCTGTTGGACTCGGACTCATACACCGTCCGGGTTCTGCTGCATGGAGGACCGACAGCCACTCCTCAACTCGCGGGAGTGGCGCTGCTGGACTTTGGGTCTCCTGCGTCCTTCGTGTCCGACTCCGTGGTCACCGCCATGATAGCTGCTGGAGCTTTTACCGCTGGCAGTGTTCGTGTTTCGCCCTCTCGTCGTTGGGGGTGGGTTTGGTGATGGACCCGCCCTTGTGACCACCCGGTCAATTCGTCTCACCGTCAATTTCCTTTATGGAGATAGAGCTACCGCTTCCTTGGCCGTCTGGGCCTGTGATGTTCCAGACGCCGCCATGGGGAACGCCGTGCTTCTGGGTCGTGATAGCTGGATACGCTTCAACTCTCGCGTGTTCATCACCCTCCCCCATCCTGGACCGGACGGCCGGGTTATGGGCGAGCTCACGCGCTCTCCGCGTTTTACAGCTGGCGCTTGCGTTTACGCTACACACGACGACGCCCCTGCCTCCTCGTTTCACCTTAAATATGCAGGAAGTTCGGGAGTTTCCTTGGGGCCGGAGCCTGCACTCTCGTTGAGGTGGACCTCGTTCGTTCTTCTGGCATGCCTGCGCTGATCGGAGAGTATCTGGTATCGTTCAATCCCGAAGTGAGTGTGCTTTCGTCTCCAGATGCGTTCGTTTCCAATGGTCTCCAACGTGTTCCCCTTGGAGGTTGGGCCGAGCTGGAGCCGGGAGACGTGATTGGAGTGTCTGCCGCGCCGCTACTACGAGTACCGGTGGAAACCCTGAAGGCGGCACCGTCTTTGGTTCCTACCGGCCCCACAACCTCTACATCACCACCTCGGGTCAACGTCGTTGGCCTCAAGTCCGGGGCTCACCGCTCTCCAGACTCAGCCTCCGCCCCGCCTCCCCCGAAGCCNAAATATGCAGGAAGTTCGGGAGTTTCCTTGGGGCCGGAGCCTGCACTCTCGTTGAGGTGGACCTCGTTCGTTCTTCTGGCATGCCTGCGCTGATCGGAGAGTATCTGGTATCGTTCAATCCCGAAGTGAGTGTGCTTTCGTCTCCAGATGCGTTCGTTTCCAATGGTCTCCAACGTGTTCCCCTTGGAGGTTGGGCCGAGCTGGAGCCGGGAGACGTGATTGGAGTGTCTGCCGCGCCGCTACTACGAGTACCGGTGGAAACCCTGAAGGCGGCACCGTCTTTGGTTCCTACCGGCCCCACAACCTCTACATCACCACCTCGGGTCAACGTCGTTGGCCTCAAGTCCGGGGCTCACCGCTCTCCAGACTCAGCCTCCGCCCCGCCTCCCCCGAAGCCGCCTCCACAAGAACTACTTGACCGCTTCTCTGAGGCACAGCGCTCCAGCTTCATGCGCTTGTGGGCTAGGCTGCCCGCACATATGCACGACATCGCTTTCAACCTACACAATCCGGGATGGACACCGGAGGCTATTGATCGTTTGGCCGACGCCCTTGTTGAGTATTCTGACGTGTTATCTACTTCGAAAACCGATTTTGGTTCATGCACCATCATGCCGTTCACTCTTTCTGTCCCCGCAGGGACGAAGCCCGTTGCATCACGTCCGTATCGTATCAACCTGTTGATGCAAAAGAAAGTGGATGCCATTTTGGACCAGTATTTGGCGGCAGGGGTCATTCAGCATTCCACGTCTCTGTGGGCTTCTCCTTTGGTTGTGATCCCCAAGAAGGACGGGTCGGTTCGCATCACCGTCAACTACAAGCGTCTCAACGTCCTGGTGGATTTGGATGGATAACCTCTCCCTCGAGTGGACGGTATCTTGGATTCTCTGTACACAANGATGCAAAAGAAAGTGGATGCCATTTTGGACCAGTATTTGGCGGCAGGGGTCATTCAGCATTCCACGTCTCTGTGGGCTTCTCCTTTGGTTGTGATCCCCAAGAAGGACGGGTCGGTTCGCATCACCGTCAACTACAAGCGTCTCAACGTCCTGGTGGATTTGGATGGATAACCTCTCCCTCGAGTGGACGGTATCTTGGATTCTCTGTACACAAGGAAAGTGTTCTCCATCTTCGACCTCAACTCGGCTTTCCACCAGATCGTTTGTGATGAAGGCACTGTCCCGCTCACCGCCTTTTCCACTCCCACGCAGTTGTTCGAATGGCTTCGAATGCCGCAGGGAGCCAACCCAAGTCCGTCTTGGTTCGTCAGGGTCATCAACAGAGTGGTGCACGGTCTTGAGCGTGTGCTTGCGTATCTGGGCGATGTCATCTGTTTCGATGAGGAACCTCTGGGACACGTGCTCAACATGATAGGGTTCTTCAAACGGTTGCGACAGTACAACCTCAAGCTGTCTCCGGGGAAGACTCGCGTCGGCGCCACACACGCCAACTTCCTCGGTCACACCATCCCTCCGGCCGGTGTTAGCCCTGATGGCGTCAAGGTTAGGGCGCTCACGCACATGCCGCCGCCGCCGAGTGTTAAGCAGCTTCGGAACCTTCTCGGTGGACTCAGCTACTACCGGAAATTCCTCAAGAATCTCGCTACCAAGGTGCGGCCTCTCAACTCTCTTCTCAAACAAGGCGTTCCCTTCAAGTACACCCCGGGCATGGTCAAGGTTGTCAAAACGTTGTTAAGCGAACTCGCTCGTCCCCCGATTTTGGTCTTCCGGATTGGGCAGCGGTCGAGGGCAACAGCCGTCCTCTTCGTTGGTGTTCCGACGCGTGTATCGACGGCTTTGGCGCCTCCTTGGAACAAGAGCAGCTCGATGGCTCGGTGAGACCCATCGTGTTTATCAGCCGCGCTACTCTTCCTGCGGAGCGTAACTGGACCATTCTGGATCTGGAGGCTGGTGGCATTGTTGGGGCCATGAAACGCCTTCGCGGTTATCTGTGGTCGACCAAGTTCATCATCTATTCCGACCACAAAGCCTTGGAAAGCATTGGTAAGGTTGGGGAACACAACGCTAGGGTGCAACGATGGCTCGAATTTCTGTCACCATAAAATATCGAAAAGGTTCGGCAAACGGCAACGCGGATTTGCTTTCGCGGCTGCCTTTACCAGCACAAGACACGGACAAAACCGGCCCCGACTGCATTGATGGTGTCGATCAAGCGGGTGTTTTCCTCATTCGGGCTTGCGGGCGCAACTATCACTCGTCGTCTACGCCGGAGGTCGGTTTGGGTGGGCTCCGCCCTCCTTGCCCGGCGGAAGTCTTTTTTGCCGCCAGCGCTCCAGTCCTCCGATTTTGGGGATTTTCGCCGACATCACCCGCGTCGGTTGGATGCTCTGACGGACTCAACGATTGCCTGCGAGGATTCTCGGCGGTCTCCGGGGGTCTTCATGGTTTCGCCTGTTCCCGGATCTTCAGGGCCTGTTTCCCATTTGACTCCTGCTGCGTCCCGCGTGATGTCTCCTGCCGCGTCTTTGGCGACTAGATATGTGAACGTTTTGTATTCGCTTCCGGAGCGGGGACCGCTCATTTCTTCACAGACTCGGGCCAAGACTACCGCTGCTTCCGGAGGCACCGTCACCGGTCCCGCTTATTTCGGACGCCAGCCGCGGGCTACCATCGTCCCTCGGACACCGTCGTCTGCCCGTTGCTCTAGCCGGTCCCGCTCGACCAACAAGACTACCCCAACCGTTGCGCGTCTGCTGCGGCCATCCGCGACTCCGGCATCGGCGTTTTCGTCGACTGCCCCTGTGTCACCGGTGTCTTCGCCGTCAACGGAGCGCCCTGCATCCCCGGTTCGCCTTTGTACAGGTTTCGCCCGGGACTTCGCCCCTCACGATGTCCCCTTCGCGGACACCATCATGGACTTCGGCTGCCCCAGTCGCTGGGGCTTCTCCTTCTTCAGCCTCTTGCGTTGGATTGCCTGACTTTCGTTTGGAATCTACCGATAAAAACACCTCCCACCTGCGGGCTTGTGTTCAGAGGTTCAGCACTGTGGATTGGGCCAGGGAACAACAACGGGAGAGCGAGTGTGTGGTGACAATGCGTTTTTGTCTCGCGGTTCTCCCTCCCCACCCCCTCCAGACTTGCTCACTCTCCGTGCTCCTCTTCGCTCCCCTCGGTTAGATGATGTGCTTGCGTTGGCGGCGAAATGCCAGACTGCACACGACCGACGACAACGTCACCCTACTCGTGCATAAATCGGCGTCGTCGCCGATTGGGCGCTCTGGCGGCAGGATCACTCGTCTGCCGGATACTGGCATGCACCGTATCTACGTGTCAATGCTTATGCGTCCGTGGGTCCTTCATGCATGCCATTCCGCTGCGTCCTTCCATCTCGGCGTCCATCGTACACAACGTCTGCTTGAACGTTTCTACTGGTGAATTGGTTTGGATCGTTCAGTGCGCTGGTGGCTTCGGGCGTAGCTCGCAAGACTTCACGTCAGACTATTCGGTGGCCCGTCATTGCTATGGCCTTGACGCAGGGGCCTAGTACGGTCGTCGGCGTCGACTTCTTCGGACCTCTGCCAGTGACTGCCAAGGGCAACTCCTACATTTTGTTGTTCACAGACCGTTTCAGTCGGAGAGCCGACATGTTCGCAGTTACAGCGGCGGAATTTACGGCGAAAGGGACGGCTCAAATCTTCTTCAACCAGTACATGACCAAGTGGGAATGTCCGACTACGTTATTGTCGGACAACGGACTGCATTTCTGCTCGAAGCTCTCCATGGCGATCTACGAGGTGATGGAGATCAAGAAGGTCACCACCATATCCTACCACCCACAGACCAACGGCGGCACGGAACGCGTCAACCACATGATGGCCCAGATGCTTGCGGTGGTCGTCAACAAACAACAAAACGATTGGGACGTACATCTCCCGCACGTTGAGTTTGCCTACAACAATTCCGTGAACCAGTCAACTAGATTGGCGCCAAACGAGATCCACATCGGACGCATCCCGCGACTTCCTCTTTCGGTCTTCGATCATCCCACGGTAGATGGTCATCAATCTTGGCCCGCGATCAACTCGAGTACTGCAACCTGACTGTCGATCGCCAGCGCCGGGCCAACGAACTTGTCCGTGAGTACAGTGCCCTGAAGATTTCGTGAGTCGAACGTTGCAATCCATCCCTGCTGGACGCCATTCACAAGCTCCCTCAGTTTTCCGTTGGTGGGTGGGCTTGGGTGTGCAACACGGCTGCTACGATTAGACAGGGTGTGCAGAAGGACAAGGACCAACAGGTGCTCACCGCCAAATTCGCACTTTCCTGGACGGGGCCCTACAAAGTTCTTGCGTTGGGTCCCGCCTCTGCCGACGCCACTCCGGACGGCCGCCCGTTGGCGCGCGAACTCCTCTACCTGGACCTGCCTTCCGATCTTTCCGGCCCAGCAACTCGTTGTCGCGTGTCTGTCCTTCGTTGCAAGCCCTGTCGCAATCTGTACGAGATGGACGACTTGCCGCAATCTCTACCCGCCGAGCTTTCGCGTTATGTTCTGCACTCTTTCGGAGATAAATTTCCATAGTTCCAAGTCACCGCGGATGATGTGTCGGTGCCTGTCGGGCGCCTCGAGGTCGACTACATCTCGGGACATCAAGTGGTGCGGGGCCGTAGCGGCGTTCTCGCTGTCCTGTACCAGACGCATTGGTTAGGCCTGACTACTCCTTCATGGGGACGGGGATCTAACCTCGATCAATTCCGTCGACACATCCTCTTGCACTGGTCCCGGGAGGTCTGCCAAAACAAGCAGGGTAACCGTACATATCGAGTGGCTCGGACTCGCGCGGCACAGCGGGAGCTAGCCCGGAATCATGGAGAACGCTATTTGCCTCCTGGGGCCGACCTTGTGCTTCACGCGACTTGGCTTCGTCGTTTCAGCGCTTCGCCCCTCCCTGTTGGCGCGCGGCTATGGTGCAAGGCCCGTGATGGATTGTGGTGGACCGGATGTATTGGTACTCATCAAAACGGCTCGTACATCGTTCGATTCTTGGATGACCCAGGCCCAAGCGTTCTGCCTCTGCCTGTGCACCTCTACTCCACCGCTTTGGACGCCGTCTGTGGATCATGGTGTTTAGAGAAACATCGTTCGCGGCCTCTGGGCGACACCCGTGGTCGCACTTGGCTCCTTACTGACTCCTTACCGTCGGCTGTTCCCACCATTTCTTCTTGGCGTCGTCGTTTTCGTTGCAAACGGCCTATTTTGGTCTTTTGTGCCCTCCTTCTCGCTGGCGTTTGGATTTTTTTTTTCTTTCACCTTCCGTTTTTGTTTTTTTTCTCTCTTGTCTCTTTTCTTTTGTTGGCTTATTTTTTTGTTTTGCACGCTGGGGCAACGCCGCCTGCACGCAGTGTCGAGTGATTCTTCTTCCTTGTAGTCAGCATTCGTCTGAATAAGTGAACTGCCGCTACCTAGATGTACGTTATCTTTCGCCTTTCCTTATATTTGTTGTTGTTGATTTTTGGTTCTCTCGACGAGCTCCATCCGAAGTTTCCTCAGTGTTGTTTGCCTCTGAACTCTTGGAAAAAGAGCTCCCCAAGTTTCGTCGGTGTTGTTTACCTCTGAACACTTGTTTTCTCGCGGCGTCGTATGTGCCGGGTTTTGAGACCACGGGCTCCCCATTTTTTGTGGACTATAGAGCTAATGTGAGAAACAACAACAACAACAACAACTTGGACAAAGAGTTCCTCAAGTTTCGTCGGTGTTGTTTACCTCTGAACACTTGGGGAAAGTTTCGTCGGCGTTGTTTACCTCTGAACACTTGGAAAAAGAGTTCCCCAAGTTTCGTCGGCGTTGTTTACATCTGAACACTTGGAAAAAGAGTTCCCCAAGTTTCGTCGGTGTTGTCTGTCTCTGAACACTTGGAAAAAGAGTTCCCCAAGTTTGGTCGGTGCCTTTTGCCTCGGGACACTTGGAAACCGAGTTCCCCGCGTTTCCTCGTTCGGGATTCCATCCCGTTGCGTCGCCTTCTCCCGTGGATTTTCGTCGTCACCCATACTTCGTTCTGCTTCGTCTCCATCATCGCCACCTTCGGGCGACGCCTTCATCACCGTCGAGCCCCTGAGTCGTCGTCGTGTTGTGTGTATCTCTACGACTTTTCTGTGTTTCATGTCTTTGTATGATGTGTATCGCCAACGAGACATGGCGCAGTTCGTCAGACCGCTTCTCTTGCATTAATCGTTTGTGCTTTGCGTCCTTGGTCCTCGTTATGTCTTGCCCTTGCCGTCTCCTTATACGAGTTGGGTACCCTGGCACGCTGGCAATCGTTCTCCGTGACTTTGCCTGTCGTTCTTAACTCCTGCCCTTTGTTGACGTTATCCTAGATTGCGTTGCGTTTTCCCTTTGAGTCGCGTCCAGTATCAAAGGCCGTATTCGTTCGGAAATTTGTTTGGGTTTTGAGTTTCGTCGCCGTATTTTGGACTCTCTCGGGTAGTCACCCTCATTCCTCCAGTTGTGATACGCACGGGCGCGCGTAAAAGAGTCGCGTGTGGCGTTTGGACATTGATTTTGCTTCCTCTGTCGTCGCCTGTTCAGATAGCGTGCTCTGCAGCAATANTTTTGGACTCTCTCGGGTAGTCACCCTCATTCCTCCAGTTGTGATACGCACGGGCGCGCGTAAAAGAGTCGCGTGTGGCGTTTGGACATTGATTTTGCTTCCTCTGTCGTCGCCTGTTCAGATAGCGTGCTCTGCAGCAATATGATTCTTCGTAGCTTTATCCCTTCAAGCGTTGTCATTGAGATGTCGGTGTTTCGTCTCGCGACAGTTCACATTCTTCGTCTCAATGATGGTGTGGGGGGTTAATTCGGGATATTTCTACACCTCACCCTCCTTTTGGATTTTTTGTGAAGAGTCATATCTTCGAAAGCGACTGACTGCATACTCCCGCATTCCGCTTCCTCTTATTCTTACACGCCTTGAGCAAGTGTTAGCCGCGATGTAGCGCTTCGCGATGGTGTTCGTCTTCCAGTCTCCGTGGCGCATGGTCTCATCCCCCCCCCGTTTCCGAGAGCAACGACGGAAATATAATATGTTCTCTCAAATCCATCCTACTACTGTTTTTCTCTTCGCGCTCGCGCTCTTGTACGTGGTGGCGTTTGTTTCTGTCGACCATGAAAAACTTTCTACTCGCCAGTGACTTGTCGAAGCCTGAACGTTCTTGTTTGTTTCTCACATAGAGCTAAACGAACTAGTCACGCGTATGTTGTGTATTTCATTCAACGTTTTCTCTTTAGCAATAATGTACAACATCAGGCCTACTTACAGCCCATTCACTCGTGACATCCAGAACACGAGATAGCTACTTCAGTACCTGTAGCTGGTTCACGGAGCGCGTTCCAGAAACGGTCATCAGCAAGTTCACATGCACATATATATTTTTGACCCGCTTACAGCAGCGTACTATTGATTCCGAGAAGTAATCGTCTTTCTTCTCAGTGTGCGACTTTCGAAGAATCCACCATTCCGTGTTTATTCTTCTTCCGCTAGATAAAACCGAACGAGAAATGAACACGAAACGACCGGTTCGTCGATTATTGAAACGTTGCAGGTTCATACTTGTCTGGACAAAACAAAAATATTTGCCCGCTTCAACGTGGAGAGTATCTTTGATCGCGCCCCCATCTGGCATCCGAACAACACAGTCGTTTTCGAGGGAACGTCACAGCTGTTGGTCGCGACGCGGCAGCCGCGCCGTCATCAGCCAGATTCCACGCTCATACCGCCTCTGTCGCTCCGATCGATCCTCATCCGTAGTTGCGCAGGGGTGCCGACTTCTTATGATTGCTCGAATCTATCAACAACCGCCTCTATGAAGTTGAACCGCTTCGTTATTGACCAGCTTTGCTGTTTGAAGTAGTATGGGGTTAGAGAGATAACCGCCTGAACTTGACGGCCAACCACTGACTCCATGTTTAATAATATCCTTGTAGGTGGTGTCGGGACAACAAGTTCTCAGTCTCTCTTGAGCGAGAAGGCACTGAGCAAGTTTTGCTGAAACCAGTAACCGTATCGTTGTGGAACACGTCGGCGCGATATCGATACACGTCGTGTCGGCCGACCCTGTTCCGTGACTGCACGTGACGGTAAACGGATCATTTGCTCGTGGTTCCGTTTGAAATTCCCTATGAACTTCTGCATTCGTTGGCTGCGACGACCGCACCTGTGCCGCACAACTCCAGCTCCTGCGAATGAGCCAAGTTCGACCCAAAGGTCACCTTCCCAATGACAGCCGAGGCATGGTTGCCCGGCGAGCATTCACCGCTTGCAATGTATTCAGGGCCTTCGTCCAGATCGGAGAGGGCCCCGAACCACGCCCGCGTGATCGCTGTCGTGTCCATGGCCAGAGTGTGCATATAATATGTCCGGCACTCTGATTTTTCTGTTTTTTCGTCTTGCGAGCAGAAGCGTTTTACCTTCGACCTTCAGTTCCGAAAAATGAGCCAAGTTCGATCAACAAGGTCAGCTTCCCAGCGATAGCGGAGATGGCGTTTTCCGGCGAACGTTTGTGATCGCTGGTGAATACCCAATAGGCCACAAGCAATATGGTTTGACTATTCCTCACGGTTCGGTTCTGCGTTTCACACGTTTGCGATACGATAGAACGTCTCTCTTACGAACGTCAATGTGTATCATCTTCTGACACGCCTGCCGTACTATGGCAGGTAGGTATCAAATATATTCGAATGAGTTTGCCTTTCGATGTTCATTTTGCCGTTTGCGAGATTCTCCGTACAACAAGCATCACCTACAGCGAAGCTCTAAGCCATATACAGTTCTTCCTCGCCTACACGAGCTGCTGGATGCAAAGGAAGCTTCCCTTCTCCTCGTGACGATCTCCGTCCCTCAAACTTTGAACGACAACGGGGTGTGGACGTGAGAGATTTTCAGCATTTGGCAACCAACGGTATCCGCCAAAGGGCGCACGAAAAAGTTATCCCGCACAACCAGGTACCCCGCCCGATTTGAGTCATTTTTTTGTTTAATCATGACTTTTTTCATTATATTTGGTTTCGTCGTACGTACTTCTATTCCGTAGTGCACGCCAAACCTGTTTCGCTCGTCTTGCACAGATAAAACACCGTGGCACAAACGTGCGCCTTCAATGACTGCGGAAGTACTGTGTTGCTCGAGAAACCACACGACACTCACCTAGATCACATACACACACACCCTCGAATCAGTTTTCAGTGAAAGCAGAGTCCCGGAGCAGCATCACGCCTCTACACGCGTGCACGAAACCCCCCAGCGATGCTCGATGGACACCACGGAACATGTGTCGTGTAGGAGCTCGCAGTTATGCTGACAGTGGTCCGTTCGCCTACCGTTTCGCTTACTTTTTCCCAACATGCTCCAAAGCAAAACTTCGTCAAGCCCGAAAAACGCCGTTTCGGGGTGCCTTCGCGCCCTCGCGAGCTTT